AAATATACATCCGGCCCGCTCTGTCTGTCTCTATCTTTATGTCTGTTGCACTCATTCTGCATGTCCAGTGGGTCCTGAGCCCTGATCTATGACCTTTTCTTTCTCAAGTCCCTAAGCGCTCAGAGGAAGGAAGGAGGGGGAGACAGAAAGGACAGCGTGGGAGATAGAGAGAGAAAGACAACAAGGCAGAAAGAAAGACTGAAAGTAAAAAAGGATAGAAAGGGGACATTGAAGACAATAAGCGAAACCGAAAAGAAAAGACAGGAAGGAAGGAGGGGGAGAGAGAAAGGACAGAGGAGGTGATGAGAGTGAGACAGGAAGTGAGGCAGGAAGAAAGAAAGACAGAAAGACACAAAAAACAAAAAGAGAAAGAAGAAAGAAAGAATATCAGGTCAAGCTCAAGCCTGCAGGTTGTATTTCTCTCCATTCTCTCTCTCTCTCTCTCGAGCAGCCACAGGCCGTTCAGACATGACTTTGGGGTTGTGGCGGGGCCGTAGCAGACCAGACGTATGATCTAATCAGAAGTGGGCACTGTGGCTTCTTGGGACAGGGGATTTTCCTGTGTGAGTGGCTGCACTAATCAGAGGTCACAGTGGTTGTCTGTGGCCAGGGAAGCTGCATCGATCAAGGTGATTCAATGGAAAAAAGAACTGGAGAGGGAAGCAAAATCAATGTGAGGATATACATACGTATGTAGCTAACCTTTAGCTCTCCACAGCCCTCAGCCTTTAAGAAGAAACAATCAATGCTGGGATCAATCAGTGTTTAAGTGACTGGAAAAATCCTGTCTGCTCACATTTTGAAAGAAAATAACAGGTAGTCATTCATCCGGTGCAAATCCAGTGTTTTGTCTGACATGATGTCCTCGGCTGGTCACATTAAACAAGGAACTCTTTTCATCCAAAACACAGATGTCAAGCAGGCAGCTCCTGATAGTGACTGACATCTTGCTTTGTCAGCACTGCCCCCTTTGCTTCCTTAAGACTCTGTAGACAATAGTGTTTCTGATTGTGTAACAGTGCAAGAGGAGAGAGAGCATTGCAGACTCACGTTGGCAGACAAAGACAGAAATGCTGCAAAGACAAAAAGCCGTATAGATGGCTGACACAAGACAAACAGCTTGTAATCACTTGCCATCTGAGGGCATCACTTTTGTTTAGGATGACTGCAGCTACTAGACTAATGCGTCGGCCACAAACAAGTTGGTTCTATGAGCCGGCTCTTTTAAGCGTACGATGGGATCCCGGCTGAGAGCCCATTTCATCCACTCACCCCCTGGAGACAAAGAAAGATGAACAAATTACACTTCCACTAATTACTTTTACGTATGTGTCTGTATAGAGTTGTCATTATTCATTAACAGTATATTTATTTTTGTTAGTAGGGTGTTATTTTGTTATAAAGCTATGATAATTATTCTTGACATATCCCACTTTTTAACCAACAGTATTACAGAATATTTCAATGTATTGCAGATGAAGATGCTTGCATATTTAACTTAATGTAACATAGGCTTTGACCAGCAGGTGGTACTAAATGAAGAGCCGTTTGGGAACCAGCTCATTTGATATTATAAAACACGTATTTAAACCTTAGAAAAGAACACAAAGAATGGCCTTCTCAACTGCCATAGTTGCAATGAACCACATTGCGGATTTTTTTTTTTTTTTACCATTTTGAGAATAAAGTCGACATGTCGAGAATAAAGGTGAAGTACCATTTCAACTTTATTCTCGTCATTTTGATTTTATTCTAGACATTTCCGCTTTATTCAAAAAGCAAAATAAATGAAAAATCTTCATCCTTAATTTCCCCCCCTAAATGTTGACCTAATACTCGTATATACTAGTGATGGAAATTACTTAAAGGGGAAGTGCACTACTTTTACACATCAGGTACTGGCCTTAGGGAATACACCTGCATCTGGGGGGAAAAAGCCTTTTTAGGCTCCAGAAGGAGCTGTGTGAATTTTGATAAATTGCCTCAAGTGATGTCACTTAGCGTTTGCGTTGGTTGAGGCTGAAGAGTAGACATTTGAAAAAGCTCTCAAAGTTTAAAAGAGTAGCCTTTAGGAATCAAGTTAAAGTGGCACTCTTTGGCTCTGGAGAAACTTTCCAAAGAGAGCTCAACAGGGTTATCTCAGCTTGGGCTTGGGGGCTACATATCTGTAGTTGTAAACTAGGCCCGGAGAGTTCGAAAAATTTTGCCTGGTGGGGAGACTCAAATGAAAGATGCTGTTTGAGTCACATTATGGGAATCATAAGAGCCAGGATTTCTGGAGTTTGACCCCATGCTCCACCAATTTTGACCACTATTTTAAAACAATGTATCTCTTGCAAGTCGTCCAACTTTCTGCAAGGTTCTGAGAGAAGAGAAAATAAACGGGATTCTTGTCAGTAGCTCCTGCACTGTTAGGAACTGAAATAAAGGACATACAGTAGACATACTGTATGTCCATAGGTGCTGTCAGTCCAGCCCTAGGGTTTCAGTTGTCCTCTTCTTTTCCCTCCAAAGCTGTCTGCCTTTTTGACTGCAGAGCTAGTGAGGTCCCTGCACCCAGGAGGCAGGCTGTCAAACACGGCACAGCAGAGCTGCACTGACAGGCGTGTGTCCTTAACCAAAAACATGTGCCTGCTCGTGACTTGTGGGGAGGACTGTGCTGATGCAGCACTCTGAGGATGGCAACCTGTGGCTGCTTTTAGGCAACATTTAAAGTGTCTGCAGCTTTATCCTGACTGCAGCAGTTATTAAGTTATGGCTGTAGGGTCGTCCTTTTCCTTTCTTGGGGCCTCATTAAAGAAAGAAATCCTAACTGCTTGTCTGCCTATCTTAATGTATGTTTCACAGATATGAAAAATCCTATCTTCCTATTACTGAAGCAATTCTTAAAGTCATGGATGTCCTATCTCAGACCTTGTATCTTAACTTAACATAAGAAATTCTAACTAGAACTAGTGGCCTTTCAATCAAAATATTTCAGTGTTCATGTTGTTCCCCAGCTACACTGTAATTTCCATACAGACCTAACAACAGTGGGGCTGTCAATTTGGCAGTTATTTTGAATTTAGGACAGGGTCTGGTCTGTGCCATCCTAACACAGGAAATTCTTCAATTAGGACGGTTCTGTAATAGCTACATTTCCATTATAAGTTAAGATAAGATTAGATTTCAGACTTAGTAAGTTTCTGTAATGAGGTCTCTGGTATTGGAAACATCCTGAGCTGAATGTCTTTCTATTCTCCATCACCCAGTGGTGTATTTATAGAGCTGCTGTGGCTACATAATCTTCACATTATTCTCAGTTTAGACATTGCTCGAAAGCCTCATCCAATTAGCTCAATCCTGCTGGTTGTAGTAGCTCCTCAGAACTCAGACACTGCTCTAATGGCATATGGATTCTGGAAACAGAATGGAAATGCACTTCATAATAAAAGCCTGCAACATTTATCAAAGTATTTGCTGAAAGATGTAATGTATTTTTTTTCTGTATTAATTAATTTAAAGCAATTTGTTTCTTGCACAGAGTTAAGAGGATCAATACCACTCTAATAGGCTATGGATCTATGATGTAAATATGAAGCTGCACACAGGATGTGTTAGCTTAGATTAACAGTGGGAAACAGCTAGCTTGGCTCTGTCTGCCTACCAGAACCTTTAAAGGGCACTATTTAACACAATAAATCTCATTTGTTTAATTCTTACAAAAACCTAAGTGTAAAAATGAACAGCTGTAGTCAGTGAGCTTTGAAGGTGCTGGTGAGCAGATTTAGCTACCTTCAGTCAGAGCCAGGCTAATTGTTTCCCTAAGTTTTCAGTCTTTGTCCTAAGATATGCTAACCGGCTGCTGGCGCCAGCTACATACACATATAACTGTCAGAGGGTCTTTACCGTTACGGAGAACACTGCAATCGCCACCACTTCTGGCTAATGAGTTGTTTACATATTAGCAAACATTGTGCAAATAAGCAACACACACATCTGTTTTTAGGCAAATCATTATTGCCTTTCCAAGCAAATTTCACCCCTCATTTGCATTAAGTTAAACATTTTAAACTTCACACAAATTAAGTTTTTTCTCCATCGCTGGCTAATCTTGAGTCCCACAATGCCTTATGAAGAGATTCGCTTATGTCTCGTAGACCCTCATAACTCAGTTGCGCCTTTGTATTTTTAATCTACTATATATATATATATATATTTTTTTTTTTTTATTTATTTTTTTACAGATATTGTAGAAACTGCTAAAAGATTTTACATTTTCTTCAGTCTGAAGTTCTGTTTCCTTCTCAGTGGCGGTCATAGTCATTTACAGCATTAGTCCAGCATGTCTCCACATGGCTGCACTTCACCCCTCCACTGCACACACTGGACTTTATTACAATGATGCTGATGAGGAGGAAAATGGGATCTCGTGGTAACAAGATTAGTTCAGTAAAAGACAGCTTGCTTTTGCAAATCAACCTATGGATCAAGGCTGATTAAGTATATGTGCAGGTTGGTAAAGTGTGGATGTTTGGAGAGTTGTTTAATTAGTGTTCTGAGAAAAGCAACAGTTTGTTTTATCAAAAAAAAGCCGTGTACCAGTGGAATGAATCAAAAGCCATAGGAATGAAAATTCAGTGGAAAATGGAAACAGACAATTGTGAAATATGTGAGTGACTTTTTATTATGTATGCGTGCAATATCAAATTTCAATAGACAATCTAAGCAGAGTCCATGAAAGGCAATTCCACTCCCTCACGTCTCTCACTTACAGCTTAATGTCTCCCCCTTCTGGCTACCAACATTAGACCCCTGTGTGACCTTAAAATGGGTCTCATACAATACAGGAAATCCCACTGGCCAGCACACCTACCTTCAGAGTGGAGGAACTAGTCTGAGAAATCCCATTGTGTGGTGTTTGATTGGGATGCAGCCTTACATGCTCTCTAGCCTCAAAACTCAAGGTATCAGGTATAAGCTGGTATGTAACGTCCTGTCCTTCCTGTTGTGACTGACAGCGGAGACCGAGCGTGGCCAGAGGCTCCCAGATGTAGACGCAGCACAGCAGCTCAAGTTGAGAGAGAGACAGCGTTTCTTCGAGGAGGTCTTCCAGCATGATGTGGACGTCTACCTATCCTCGGCACACCTTTGCATTCGAGACTATAAGAGACGTGAGTTAGACTTGGGGCACTGTTGTAAACCCATACACATGCACGCACTAATGCATGTTCATATACAGATGCACATAATATCATTGCTTCTCCTCTGCTGCAGCTCCAATTGGTAGCATCTCTTCCATGGAGGTGAATGTGGACTTCCTGGATCAGATGGAGCTGATTGACATCTCTGACCAGGAGGCTTTAGATGTCTTCTTCAGCTCTGGGGGAGAAGAGGGCGTGCTGGCCTCCCCACTGCCAGGTATGGAGAATGGAAATAGAGCACAGATTGCAAGAGATACTGCGTGGTTTTATCCCTAACACTTTTTTTTTTATATCTGACTCACAGTCCAAGGAAACAACAACAACGAGGAAGTAATCAGTAATGGGCTCTTTCGACATGTCCTTGAGGGTCTTGATGCCAAGTCCCGCATGTCCTCCACATCTTCAAACTCCTCCTCTGACAGTCAGAACCCCACTGCCAACGGAGGAGACACCCCTGTAGTCAGGTCAGACGATGATGAAACGCACACAAGCACAGTTAAGCGAAGAGCTGCGCCTCCAGAGGTAGAGAAGGTGAAAAGTCAGACTCCACCATTGTCTTCGTAGGACACACCCTCTCCACAATAGATCTCCACCTGCAGCTTGGTAATTGACACCTCGGTCAGGGGGCGAAGAGTGGACTTTGGGATGCCAGCTATTGAAAGACGCCTCTCAGCTGCAAAGTTCTTCCACACACTGGCTCTTCACTGCTTTCAACTTTACCTTTGATTTATGAGTTGCAGGTTGGGTTCTATGTGTGTTTTGGAGGACGGGACCGTGAACTGTAAATATGGAGATTTCCTATTAATTCTTTCCATTCTTGTTTTGGCATGTTTTGAAGGACAATATTTGCTCCTGTTTTGACCTCACAGGACTTTTCATGAACGGTGAATTTTGTACAGTATTAACGCAACCCAGGACGGCAAAGCAGTGATTGGAATAATAAAAATACAACTGAATGAACTATGTCTTATGGTAAATTTGACAATAGAAGGCTTCAGATTAATAAATGTACTGTTCATGAAAGAAACACTTTGTCCTGCCAATGCAAATTCTCTGTTTTCTAGCTCTAATTTTAAATGAATCTCTCACAAGATGTCTTTGTTTTCACAATAAAGGAAGAGAGGAAAATGTCTCCGTGTTTTTTTTACAACAAAACAAATTCTCAGTTATTTCAAGGTGCTTTGATGAGCGTCAACAGGTGTTTAGCTGCTTCCTGTCAGAAAATGAAAATGACGATTCCAGGGAAGCGTGAACCTGCAAGTACAACCAGAACCTGCTCAGCAACCTCACTCAAAGCCCTCAAACAATATCAAGTTTGTTTCTTGAATCATGAATCTAAACTTTAAATACTGCATACTATCTCCCAGAAACCATGAAGAAGTGTTTCTAAAAACCTCATGAGCAAACAGTTACACACACACACACACACACACACACACACACACACACACACACACACACACACACACACACACACACACACGCCGCACACAACCTGTGATTATTATATTTATGTGTGTGGGTGTGTAAAGTAGAGAGGGCAGGATCTCATTTCCTTTAGTTAAGAAAGCCAGTCCTCGAACACTCTAAGCTGGATGTGCTGAACATGCATCATGCTCTGCTTCGTCCTCTTGGTATGTAACAACATTGACTTCAAATCTTGCTAAAATTAATTTAATCTAAAATGAAGGCTATTAATTCAATTCATTGATGGCAGTTTCAATGTTCCTTTAAAGGAATTTTTTTAATATATATTTGGGTCTGGTCAGTAACTTGATATTGTACAGCTAATGCTTCCGTGTAGGTCAGTGTCTTCCCACATAAGTGTTTCAATAAGTCAGGAATTATTGGTAAAATTACCTCTTTAATGTGTACACAAAATATAATATTCCAATAGTCAAACATGAGGCGCAAAGAAGAATATGTCATTGTGTTTTATTTATTTATTTTTTTCTATGGAAATGTCTTTGTGTACACTTCATAGAAACTGGTTCGCCAGCTATGCAGCACAACGAGTCTTACAAGTCAAGTGAATTCCCAAACGTGCAGATAACAAATTACAAACTCCCACCTTATCACAAACAAACACTCCTGCTTTGCATAACACAGCTCACATTGAAAAGACTTGTTTGTTTGGTTGTTTGTCATTCAGGTGTCGTATTTGTCAAGTGCAACATGCTCAGAGCCTCTCCTTCACAGGAGGTCTTGGATCCTGGACTCCTTTACAATTGAGGAGGGGCATCCAGGGCCCTTCCCATATGTCCTGGGCAAGGTGAGAAAACCAGATTTATGTCAAAATATAAATGTTCCCCAGAAGAGGGAATATATTCATTTTCATACTCAAATACAAATGTGCATCACCTGATACATCTATTTATTATAATAAATACATGTTAACCAAAATTACCATTTGTATGCAAATGTTGTAAGACAATCAGTTCTTTAACTAGTTGACTTTTCCTGTCTGGGATGAACTTTATTCTGCCCACCTGCTATCATTTTCTTCAATTTTTATCACTTCTATTTTTTTTCGTCTTTTTCATCTTGAAAATGTATAAATGACTTCTGTAAATGTATAAGTGATTTCTGACTGTGAAGTGTTTGATGTTGTGTTGTAGATAAATATCGAGCGGGACTATCTAGTATACTTTGATATCTTTGGGGAAGGAGTGGATGAGGAGCCAAAGGGAGTCCTCTCCATTCATAAAGAATCTGGCACCGTGTCTGTCCACAGGGCTGTGGATTATGAGGAGAAGGAAATGCTTAAGGTTAGACTCAACACTTATTACATATCAACAGGTTCTCTATACTGCTGTAAACTTCTACACACTGATAAGGGATGCATATGATCATGTAGTTTCTGGCAATACTTTCATAGGCTTCCACAGTATACACATCAGTGTTGATTAACTAACACAATGTTCATTTCTCTGGAGTTATGGCATTAGGATGTGATCTTTTCAGGACCAGTAGGAACAGAAGAAATTATTACAGCAACCAAAAACAGTTTAAATGTGAATATGGGCATGTAAGTGTTGTTTTAAGATAGAATTGAGAAAGTGTGGGCCTACCTTGGAATCTTTAAATTCTTAAATCTCATATCGCAATCAAAATATGACACACATCATGTGTTTTTTTGCATTGGGGCTAACTTTGAGTCATATCTTTTAATTCACAGCTGAGAATTGAAGTCAGAAAGACAGATTTATCAATTGACACTCAATTAGGACTTGTGATTTCCATACGGGATATCAACGACAACCCACCACGCTTTCAGAGGGATCTGTATGAAGTCAGCGTTAATGAGGAAATCCTACAAGGTTAATACTAAAATAAACCATATCTTTTGACTTTTTCTTAGGTTCAGTGTCTATTAAGTACCGTCCTTTTTAATTTTTGAACAGTTAGTGTTTTGTCATTTCCCAACAGGCTCCCGTCTCCTGTCGGTATTGGCCTATGACAGAGACCAGAGAGGCACACCAAACTCAACATTCCACTATGAAATCAAATCTGTGTCTCCCAGCCCTCCAGATACTGAATTCTTCATTGATGAGACTGGAAAAATCTCATTCAAAGGGTGTTTGGATTATGAGGCAAGAGTCCTCTCTGTTAAAATGTCAGAATCATGTGAGATGTAGTTAATGCTAGGTCTTCACGGGCTAAGAGTGCAGAATGTGGTATTTACACAAGAATGTACAAAATGCTTCTTTGAGCAATATCTCATTACATGTAAAATCATTTACAAAACGCTTCTCATCTGTGAACTAAAATGAGCAGCAGGGTGAGTTTACCGTGTAGGAGTTTTTAATGAAGTATTGATTTGTAGCAAAATTTATATCATATTGAGTACATATTTGTAACAAAGAGGGTATATGTGTAATGAAGACAAACACATTTAAAACAACACATTTTGTGCAAAAACTATTAATTTAACCATCTGTATTTGCTTGTATTAAGGTGGCTGAAATGTTTACATTGTTGGTGGAGGCCAAGGACCATGGTGAAGTAGTCAGTCTGTCCAGTTCAACCTATGTTGTCATTGATGTCCACGACGGCAATAACCACCTTCCTTTCATCAGCGGACAAACAGTAGGCAGTTATCTTTGTTAACAAATTTTTAACAACATCACATTGATTTCTGCGGTGTGACACTGACATTTGACAGGAAATATTTTCTTTTACTCTGACTTAGCCATACACATCATTACAATCTTGGGAGTCATTATTATATATTACATGACAAGAACACTACATGTTATTAAAAGGAATATTTACAACAAATATTTCACATTTTTAGTATTCATAATATTATATACATAATATTATAAATATATATATAATATAATATTTTAAAAACTTGTGTTTACAGTGTTTAAACACTGGTGGAAAATGTAGCAGGAAGTACTATTGACAGATTTCCCCCTCTGACCTCTGCACCGTGGATACATACAACAGGGCTCTGGCAAAGTAAAAGAAGATGAGATCGGGACCTCTCCTCTGCGGCTGCACGTGACAGACAAAGACACCCCAAACAGCCCGGCATGGAGAGTCCGATACACCATCCAGGGTGAAGAGGGAGAGCACTTTAAGATAGAGACAGACCCAGACACCAATGACGGAATCCTGACAGTAGTAAAGGTAAGAGCTGTTTACCTACATTACAGTGACACCCTCCTCTGGTCTGACATGTAATTACAACACGCATGTTTGACACAGTACATCTGCTCGCACTTGCAGTAAACGTGTTTAAATTCTGTGCTTTAATGAAATTAGAAAATGTTTTACGAAGATAAAATTTAACGTAAATGCTGTTATAATTTCAGCCTTTAAACTTTGAGGAGGGAGCACAGAGGCAGCTGTCCATCTCAGTGGAAAATGAGGTGCCATATTTCTCCTGTAAAGTGAGGGAGAGGAAGTCCTCGGGCCTCTGGGAAGTGGACACTAGTAAATGGGATGATCCTGGTGCAGGTCAGCCGGGGTCTGTAAAAGTCATCATTGAAGTTGAAGATTCTAATGACTCCCCAGTGTTCAATGTGACTGTCAAAGAGGCCATGCTGAAGGAGAACGCACCCATTGGAAGCTGGATAGGGAAAGTGTCTGCTGTCGATCTCGACACCAGCCACGCAAGAGTTTTTGTGTAAGTGGGATGTTTTTTTCCAACGTGTTTCAGCTCTTGTCTGGGACCTCCTACTCTAAAGCAAATCGTGAATGTCAACAGGTACAAGGTAGGACACGATCCTGCTGGCTGGGTGACAGTGGACCCCCACACAGGAGACATCACAACTGTCATGACACCCGACAGAGAATCTCCTCATGTTGTTAATGGCATCTACACCACGTTACTTTATGCAGTAGATGATGGTAAACCTGTTGCTGGTTGGCGTGGACATACACCAAATATTTTATGATTAAGAGTTCAATTGAATTTGAAATGCTTTGTGACACTATTGTTTTCTATCTCGGACAGGTAATCCCCCCATGACAGGCACAACCACACTGAACATCCATGTGGCTGACGAGAATGACAACGTGCCAAAGCTGACAGTGGACAGCGTGGATGTGTGTGTGTCTGACGGCCCCACCACCACTACCATCAAAGCCTTTGACCTGGATCAAGATCCCTTTGGAGGACCTTTCATATTTGAACTGCTGGGGGATGTCAAAGGAAAATGGAAACTGAATCCCTCATATGGTAGAAACAGCTATGCTATCTAGTGAAATATTATAGCAAACAATAAAAAAACCCATCCATTTAATTTAGTGATTATCTCTCACAGGGTTCACAGCTGGTCTGGTGAAGGAGCCCACTGTGTATGCTGGTCCACACACAATTGATCTGAAGATCTCTGACCTGCAGGGAGCGTTTGGCGTTCATCGCCTCAGTGTGACTGTGTGTGAATGCTCTCTGACACCCAACTGCCGAAGCCGCCGAGACACTGCTATAAAAGTTACCTTTGGTGCTATAGGCATAGTGTTTGCCTCGCTTTTTTTACTCCTGTGTAAGAAAATGAATCATTGCCTTTGGTTAGTATCAGAGTATACTCTAATATGTATTGTGAAGTCACTGCAAGTTGAATTTCTTCATCTCCATCTCGCTGACAGTTCTGCTCCTGATGGCAGTGGTCATCTCCTGCAAAACAGAGTTTGCCACTTTGCAGACCGGTGATTCCTCTGGAGAAACCCACCTCACATCAAACACTGAGGAACCAGGAACAGATTGCCAGGTCACTGCTTAGAAACATTTGTAAACAAACCAGCGATAGTGTCATAGTGTTTTTTTTTTTCCAGATTTCTCTTCATGCAAACATCAGTACTAGTTTCTTTTTCTTTCTAGGTACCTGGCAGTGTCCTGGTAGTGTCCACTGATAACAAGCACTATCACCCCTCTGATTGGCAAAGTCTGCGTGGAATGCAACACAGACAGGTTTCAATAAAGGTTGGTACAGAGGGAAATGATATGGAAAACTTTTTTTCTCTGGTGAAACTGCAAAACTGAAGTAGCTCTATGTAACATTCTTTTGAGGCGCGCCATTTTTTCTCACATCCTTTGGTGATGACATTGCTTGTCAAAATAAAAGACGGCCATTTGTAACCGGTGGACCTACTGTATTTTCAGTCTGATCATTCCGTTCACCAGGATATGGAGCCAATCTTAATCTACAATCATCCGGGAGATTACAGAAGGGTGAACTTTTCCCACCCATTCAGTGAGAACTCAAACCAGGTAAAATGCACACACTGAAAGTCAATTTTTTCAGTTACAACTAGGCATTCAAATATATAAATATATTTGTTGTGTACAGATTGATGACATGAGAACAATGAATTTACTCAAAATGAACTCAAGCTATGAAGCAGATGAAGCTTTCCTAGCCCCGCTTCATCAGGTTGGTAGTGCCCTTTCATTATCACATCGACCCTGCTGCATAAAGCACTGTAAATACATGCACACGCCTACAGCAATCCTGGTAGTGTCCACTGATAACAAGCACCATCACCCCTCTGATTGGCAAAGTCTGCGTGGAATGCAACACAGACAGGTTTCAATAAAGGTTGGTACAGAGGGAAATGATATGGAAAACTTTTTTTCACTGGTTAAACTTCAAAACTAAAGTAGCTCTATGTAACATTCTTTTGAGGCGCATCAAGTTGTCTTACATTTTTTCTCACATCCTTTGGTGATGACATTGCTTGTCAATATAAAAGACGGCCATTTGTAACCTGTGGACCTACTGTATTTTCAGTCTGATCATTCCGTTCACCAGGATATGGAGCCAATCTTAATCTACCAACATCCGGGAGATTACAGAAGGGTGAACTTTTCCCACCCATTCAGTGAGAACTCAAACCAGGTAAAATGCACACACTGAAAGTCAGTTTTTTCAGTTACAACTAGGCATTCAAATATATTCATCCTTTCTCCCCTTTGTTGCAACCACTTTTTCCTCCAATCCCAAGATGACCTGGGATTATCCAGTAGCCAATGGCTACCACTACACCCACCAGGTAGCGTAACAGTTGTTCAGCTTGTGCTAATTGTTACTTTGATGCAGCAACTGAAGAAACATAATCTGAAGTTTGTTGTTTACAGATTGAGGGCATGGCAATGAATTCACTCAAAATGAACTCAAGCTATGAAGCAGATGAAACTTGCCCAGCCCCGCTTCATCAGGTTGGTAGTGCCCTTCCATTATCACGTCGACCCTGCTGCATAAAGCACTGTAAATACATGCACGCGCCTACAGCGATAAGCAATGGTTTTAGCCTAAACTTTTATTTTGCTGTTTCTCCTGCAGAGGCTCTTTGCTCTACAGGACACAAGATCTGTTGGACTATCATCCTCACCTGTACGCAGATGAGGGGGGACACAGACAACCTCTCAGAACTGGAGACAATCACCATTCCTGACAATGATTCATTCCAGAAAGCGCTGACAGACTTGGGCCCCAAGTTCAACCAACTGGCTTCCATTTTCCAACCACCACCTATACAAAACTGAAGTATTTTTCCTGAAGCAAACATTTTGGTCAGAGAAACAAACTGCATAGCCTGTGGGTTTAAAGGTTCATGCTAAAAAAAAAAAAATTTATTATTAAATAACTGGATTCTATGTTATCTTTTCAATGATAGACAAAAGCGAGTCCGTTAATCATAACTTATTTAATAGCAACTGTTAAAGTCCTCCACAGTCTTTTAGTTATCATTTTACATTATGGGGAGAAAAATAAAAGTACAGCTGTACTCCAAAAGCTATTTGGAGTTACATTTAGACAGCCAAGTAGACAATTTAATACATTTAGCAAAAGAAAAAAAAAGAAAAAAATACACAAATAACCTAAATTAGATTCCTGCTGGCCTGTTCAAAAGACAAATTCCACATTGCATTTTACCAAACCAACAGATTTGTTTCTAGCATACAGCTGTATAATTACAAAGAAATTGCTCTCCCATTTCATATAATATGAAGGTTACAAAATTCCCTGATGCATAGAGTTGGGATAAAGAAAAGAAAAACATCTTTGCTTCAAATGGGGTGGGGAAAGTAGGGAGGTAGTTTTTAAATAAGCCACAATACTACAAAACTACAATATTTACAGAAAAAGTTAACGAAAAGTCAAATAAACTAAACTTCACACCCTCCCACTACCAATTTTTGGGAGGGGTCGCTGCTCAGCGGTGCTCTGCCCACTGCGTCCTCGGCCCCTGAATCCTCTGCCTCTCAGGAAGCGGCCAGGCACTCCAAATGTTTCCATGTTCAACTTTTTCTCCTCTGCCCAGGTGGTTCTCCTGAGGAAGCAGAGTAAAATATGTTGTAGAGCATGACAAGTCTGTGTTAATGAAAGACAAACACCACATTTAGATAATTACCTGGGCTTAAGGTCTGATGAGATGTTGTCAAAGAAACATTTGGCTTTGTCATAATACTTCTCTCCGGGAGTTTCCTCCTCCTGCATACCCTGGCTGTCCTGGGCCTTGCCAGAATCCACCTTTTCAACTGCAGCAATTCACACACAAAACACAAATCCCCCTCCCCCACTTACACACCTCAAAATTGCTTTATAGTGTGTCCACTGAAACTGAGTTGATATTTTAAAATAAACATACCTACAACCTCCTTTGTCAGATCATCATTAAACTGAGCATTTGCAGTTTCAAAGTCAAAATCTGACTCGAACTGCAAGGTCGTGGCCTTCGAGGTTTTCACAAGAAGTTGGCCTCTGCTTCGATTTCTTGACCTGCGATTGCCTGCAAGTGAGCCGCCCCCCCCCAAAAAAAGACTTGTTTAGTTAACCATTTGGAGCAGGTTCATCTAGTCTTAGATATTCACTTTTGTACCAAGACACCATCCCAAATGGGGTGGGGGGGGGGGGGGGGGGGGGGGGGGAATTTAGTTTGATGGAATGTATATATAAAAATATAAATGTATATCTGCCCTCCTCATATGTTTGACAATAGTCAACTATTCTGTCAGTAAGAAATGTGAGCGCATTTTTAATACCTTGTTTTTGCCTTTGGTTCTCACTGTCTTGGCCTTGAATCTTGGCTGCACTTGGCTGAGATGGTGCCCGACCTAAACATTAAATATTTAAGATGTTTCTTACATGAGCTGGACTAAATAGAAAATAGAAGCAACACAGGACATAGAGGATATGTGATTTCTTATGCATCTATTATGAGCCACTGTTAACTTTGCTTACTTGTGGGTACATTCTCCTTCTGAACCTGGGAGCCACCCCGAGCAGAGCGCTGGGTTGGACGAACAGGCTGGCGGCCTGGCGGCTTGGTTGAGGTTCTCTCTCTGTTCTGGGCAGCACTGACCAACGGCACGGTCTGGACAGCCTGTTCGACCATGGGAGCTCTTCTCGCTGGGATGCTGTGAAATCCTGGTACTAAAGGATCAGGAACAAACATAGGGGGGCTTGAACAACTGCTGCCATGTGATAAACAGCCACAGACAATCCATAGTGCTGGAGGAAGGTGTACATAATGACATTTGACACATCTGATGTGCTCAAAAGATTATTAATTGTACCTAGGCCCAGTGCTGCATTATACTGCTGGTTGAGTAGAGAACTAGCAGCCAGCTGGTTATAAGTGGGCATCATGTCTCTGTATGGACTCCAGCGTGGGTGATAAGCAGCAGAGGAATTGCCAATGGATGACTAAAAGCACATAAATTAAGACAAAAGGAACTTGTTTTATCAGGGGTTTTGTGACCAAATATTTACAAAATGGAATTACTTTTTAAAAGAGTCAACCAACTCTCCCAGAGCCACACACCTGAACAATAGCAGGGTCACAAGGCAGTCCATGGTGCGACTTCGGTGGTTCAGACACAGTGATGTCTTTGATGTCACTTCCTCTGAAGATTATGTATTCATAAATTTCGTCTTTGGGTGGCACTGGTCTGTCTGAATGCCGGTCCTCTGTCCCATAGGATTTAACTGTTGGGAAAGAAAGTTAAATGAAGAGGAAGTTAGGTTTTATACCTCAACCATGCTTCATTCAAACTTAACAGAGACAGTTAAAAAGAGAAAAAAACAAAACAGGTGTGGCCTTGGCCTGTAAACCTACCTTTGGCTAAAGCAACCGTGGACCTATCTGTATCGACAGAGGACAATATTCCTTCATATCGAATCTGCGCCTTGGATATCAAACTTATTTTACTGCCAATGTAAGGAGTTCCTCCTCCAGCACTCATGTTTGCAGTAAAAATGCGTTTTCACATTGAAAAGTAGCGGCTAAATCACAGAGCATTAAACCACGGCACACATCAGACACGAAATAATCACCAATGCTCACAATTAGCGCGCACCTGTGCACTTTATAAGATTGTCAGTGACGCGCCTCCTTGCTGCTGGGTCACCTGCGTGACTAACAGGGTTAGTTTCTTTAGCCAGCCGGCGTACACCGCGAGAAAGGAAAGTCTCTCAGTCTGCAGCATTGGTAAAACTGGACTATGGTAAGCTTATTACAATTACAAACACACTGCAGGCCAGGCTAGTGGAAGCAAACTGAGGAGAGAGAGACCACAGAAGTGGTTTAGGCCTACAATTTTTAGTACTTTAATCAGGATTTTCCTGTCGCACTTAACCTTCTGAAATGGAGTAGGCTATGGAGTGAATTTGATCCAAAAGAAAAAAATAACTATCTTACTATTTTAAACTAGCCTATATTGTAGGTTTACTATTCAAGATAATCAAGTCATCATTCAATGGTAGCTACATCTAATATATATTAAATTATTACATTGTTATATCCTTTAATATTTTATGACCTGATTTTCCGGATACTGATATAGATTAATAAGTTCTAACTGCTCATAGCACACACACACACACACACACAGACACACACACATATATATATATATAATGTGTAGGCTACTGTACATTTGTAAGTTGAATACATGGCACACAGTAGGCTACATTTGGATGTAGCAGTTATATTTAATATATAAATGTAAGGAAAAACAAACACACTTTGTTTGCACTATGCTTTTATCTAAAAGTCAGTGCACGTGGGAGTTCAACCACACTAACTCCAATGACTGCTGACAGCACAGTACAATATTTCCTTTCTGAAAGGAGGGTGGGGCGCCCTCAAACGACTTTTTACAACAGCAACTTCACTTGCTGGCCAAAGCATTGCAGCCATCTTGCACAGCGCATCGAGAGTCATTAAAGTCTGAAATTTGGTTTGTTAGCTCGTTGTAAAGCCCGTTATTATTCTACCAGGAGTCACACGGCGCGATTCTAAACCGGAATAGATATCGTGAAAACATAAACACGCCGGCGACGACACAACATTTGATGCAAACACTTCGTCTCCGGTGCGATGTTGTTTCGTCTCACGCATCCCCAGCAATGACAGCTGAGCTGAAGCCATTGGTACCGCCTTTGACAATGTGGGACAGCCAACCACAGCTCGCAGAGATGCCTGAACGGAGACGTTCCGTTGGTGTGCGCACGCGCACGTCACTTGGTAAGTACCTCACACTTCTCACACACTCGCAGTAGCGTGAAGATGGCGGGTAGCCCCGGCCAACTGGATGAGCGTTTTTTACACACAGAGGTGAATAAAGCGGTAGTTTGCCATCCTGTACAGTCTGTAGAGTCACAACCGTCGTTCTTGTGTCACAACAACCACTGGGGTAGGCACGAGGCAGCCGGTAATCACATGGCTATAGTTCCGGGAGAAGGGGGTAGCGCGAGCTAATGTCCAGCTGGGACTTGGTCAAGACGATTGCTGAAGCAGGTACGCTGTAACTAAATGTTGTTTTCCTCTTTGTCTCCCCGAGCATACACGGGAAGCGAACGCCGGAGCTGACAGAGAAAAACAGTAGATGTGCCAGAGTCTTGCCCCATCACGTTCAAGATTGTTCGTGCTCCTTCTGAACAAGTTGAAGTGCAGGGGGTCTCATCAAAACGAGGTCCCCATGGTTCAACTATGGATGTATCTACGGCCAGCACGGACTCCACGGGACAAGACCCTGGCAAACCACTTGCTGTTAGTAGCGGTGTAACTTCTCTCCCTATTCAACAGGGGAAACTAGGCTCACACTCGGTGCAGACTTTCAATGGGAGCCAAACTATGAACTTTCACAATTCAGGAAGCGCTGCCGCTCTCGGGGGGACGACAGTGACGAGCGGTACTGGTGACAGCAGCAGCACGGCGGTATCTGTCACAGCAGCCAACAGCGGAACAGTGATGTCAAAAGGGCTAGCCAGTGCGATAATGCCCCCCTCGTCAAACAGTGTAATTCAGACGCCTCTCATGATCTCGCAGAGTGTTGTCGCTTCAGCTCAGCCTGTCAGCCAGACAGCCGGACCTACTGTGACTCTCGTCAGGCCGCCTATGCAAACCGCGGGGTCGGGTGCAACTTTGAATGGGAACAATAATGCGAGCCCTGCTGTTGCTGCCAATACAGGTCAGACTAGTATCGTCGTACAGCCCACGCATGTAAACAATAGCCAGCCGTCCAGCGCAGGTTCGCACATAATCAAGGCAGAGCCACCCACAACAATAATACAGACGGCTCCGCAGTCTGCTGTCACTCCCGGCGCCGTCAGCGCTCCCCGGATTACGGCAACGGGAGCAGCCGGTCCAGCCGGGATCCGAGCCCTGACGCCTCAGATGTTGGCCCCAAGGCTCTCACAGACCTCCCCGGGACAGCCCAGTATACATAACATCCAGCTCCCCCCGGGTGAGTCAAGTCAGAACTTTTTACTGTGCATGCACTGGCATTTATTTCCACACTTTTCTGACTCACCAGAGTGGTTTCATTTTCATTTGCCTCTGCTCAATGATTATTAAAAGAAATATTCAATGATTATATTATTGAATTTTGATCCAACACAGTATATTACACATCTGTCCTCTAAGACTCAGTGTTAAATAGCACACCCGATTCTTTAAATAACTCTAAACCACTGTTATGATTGATGGTGAGAATAACAGCTGATCATTTAACAGTGCCCTGTTTCTCTTATTGGAAGTGCATTGCTTTTGACACTACTTCTTCCTATAGATGTGCTAGTATAATTATATTCAAGTTGTCCCTTATTTTCCTGACTTGGCTCAGGGATGGTGCTTGTACGCAGTGAGAGTGGACAGCTGCTGATGATTCCTCAGCAGGCTCTGGCCCAGATGCAGGCCCAGGCACAGGGAGGCATGCCACCTCGGACTGCTACACCAACAAACGTGCCTCCTGGCCAGGTAAGATGGCGGTCTGCCCTAGGAAGAGCTTTATATTAATAAACCATCATGTTTCACTTTTGTGCCAATGTTTAGCTTACCTTCCTTCCTACAGGTCAGGGAAGAACCTGTTGAGTAGAATATTAAAGAAATTATAGCTAATTTTTACAGCAGGTTGATGGAAAGGAGTGTGCTTGTATGTTATTGTGTTGTATTACTAGTCTTAATTTATGCCAAATTATAACATACACATAGATATATATGTATTAAAATGTAATCCATGTAGTTTCTAGTTGAAGAATGAAACTGGGTGTCACACATCATGTCACACTATGTGCCTTCTCTCAGGCTCCAGGAAACACCATCATCAGCAGACAAGTCGCTCCCAGCACCATCATCCGTCAGGGCTGTCCAGCCCCGACATCACTCGCTGCCACCACCGCTCTTCACAGACCTCCTATCCTTCAGGTAACCCTACCTGCTTTCGTCACATAATTATGTTTATTTGGCTTGTAGCACAGTGTTTTGTGTTTGCTATTTGTACAAGTTGCAGATTGAAGGATGATACACAGTGATACTCATTCACTGTTTGAAATTGGGTCAGCATTATATTACATTATAGTGTGCCATAATACTACTAGTTTTGTGTGAAAGTGACACTAGAAGGTTTTTATGAGTGCATTTTTCCACAATGAAAAGGAAGCAAACTCTCAGTCTCCATATGATGTGTTATTGTGTGCGTAGTGTGAGTAAATGTTTTTCAGTTGCCAGGGTTTATTTGGTAATCCTGAACCGTGTTTCCTAGATTTACTGTAGTAGAGTTGAGACCTTGACTTGAAGGAGTTATATGTATTTTTAAATAAATATTCTGTATGCTAGCAGCCAAGGGTCTCAGCAGATAACAGAACATTTCATGTGATCTTATGAGGTGCAAAATGGATGAGAAACCAAGTTACACGTAGATTTGTTATTGTGAAAAAAAGTGTGTACTTGCTGAAATGTAGTTTTTCAAGATGCACATAGAACAGCACATCGGCTTTTGATGGAGGAGGGTATAATAATTAAACACAGTATTTCTGTTAAAACCATGAAGCATTTTTCTTTATTATCTGCTTGTCAGTTCATTACCAAATTTGAAGAAAAAGTGTAGTTCTGAAACTTCTACATTTTCTGTGCTGTTATTTGTTTAAGTTTGCTAAAAGAAATGAACAAAATATTCAGGTTTAGTTGTCAAGTGTTCAGATGGAATTTATAGCTATAACTTTGATGAGTCTGACTTCTTTCTATGTAGGACTTTATCTAGCTAACATGGATGGGGCTGACAAGAGCAGGTAGTGATCAGACAGAAGTGGCCGGGCATGTCTTTAGGAACTCTTGCTTATGTGGACCTCTTCCTCTAACAACCTGTTAAAGGTTTATGTCACACAAGCCAAAACCCATCAGCAGATTTGCCAGTTATAAATGAAACAATCACAAAATGAGTCATACCATGGGATTGCTGACTTATTTCCTAATGGCTTACAACGAACACATTGAAGTTCTTGTTTGAGGACGAGCACCCAGCTGAAATTCAGTTCATGAGAAGCGCACCTGTTTCCTCTTATGAACCTGAAGCTGTGCATCCAGCTGGTTGATCAACTTTGAAACGGCTCTGAAACCCACAATCTCCGAAAGTGGCTTCTGAAATGTGGTTAACAACTGAAATAACATGTCAGGATGGCGATGTCTGTCTTCCTAGAGCTCAGTTGGGGCTACAGTAACAGGAATGACCCCCAGGACCATCAGCCAAGCAGCTGGGACCACAGTTACCTCAGTAACAATGAGCAAAGTGAGTTGTGCTAAGCCCAATGGATCAGATAGAGCTGGTTGTCAGCATGTATTGTTGCACTGTACTGTAGAGTTTGACACTGCAATTATGTACTTTAGTAGTCAATTACAATATAATAAAAGCAAGCTGCCATGTATAACATGGATATTCACAAATGCAACTTAATTCATAATCCTAATGTTCTGTGTTTTTGGCAGGAGACATTGGAGAACGTGAAGAAATGTAAGAACTTCCTGTCTACATTGATCAAGCT